TCTTCCATTATGTCTTTTTGCCTTTTTTTTTTTTTGGTTAGTTTGTGCATAACACGACTCATACGCAAAGCTACAGAAATAGAGAAGTCATTTTGGAGTAGAAACAGAAGAACTGGAATGAAGGAAGACTGTAAAAGAGAAAGAGTGAGGGGGAAGCTGAACAACTCTTTGTCTCAACATTAAATTGATATTTAGGTTGATATTATTTCCACAGAGAACCTAAGTTAATGAAACAGAAATGTGACTCAACAACAGATTCTTAATTTTTGAAGTCTCACCTTCAAGCTGAGGGAAGAGTCACAATGCAACAACCATTTTAGGGGTAAATTATAAAGAACATAGTATTAATGATTCCAAAGATTTAATTAATTGATCAGATATGATTCAATAGATAAAATTTATCTCCATCATTTAGCAATCACTTTTCCAGCTCTCTTCCCTGAGTATGTGATATACAAAATGTAGCTGAAAACACCATGGCTGTGTCTACCACAAATTCCCTATCCCTTTTTGATCACCGTATCAACAGAAACATACACATTTTAAGGATAAGCCCACACTATTTTCTGAAGCTTACAGAACCAGTACACCTGAAATGTCTTTAGTCTCACAGCCATCCATAGCATTTTAACACATGACACTGCTCTGCATATCTGAGGAATCAGGAAGACCTACTAAAACGTATCATTTCATGATACTGATCTTAAGAATAATATTGTGAACAGCCACTGGGAAAATCTTTCCAAAATAATAAAATCTGCTTTAGAAAGAAAATTGCATTCCACCCACTCCTGCCATGGCAAATGCTTTCCTTATACCTAGGAGAAGGTAGAAGAGCCAAGCAACTTCTATTACCCCAGTTCTGACAAGAACATACTAAAAATGTGTCCGAGTTGCACAACACCACATGAGTTGTCACTTTCATATCCCGTGTCTCCATTACTGCAGTGAGTGTTGATAGTACTGTTTGCAGAAAAATTTCAGGAATATCTATGAAAGCAAACTATCTCAATTTAAAACAAAATAAAAGGTTCTGTATTTATTTGCACTGCTAAAAACGCAACATAGCTCCATTTTAGTTAATGAAAGAACACTGATACAGCAGTGAGAAAGCCATTACCATAACTTTTAGTGTAATTAAAAGGGGTAAAAAGCTAAAGTGGTTGAGGTGTAACAAGTTACTGTAGTTTAGTTTCTACATATAAGAAGTGAATACATTTTTGGGTTTACTCCTTAATCCAGTTTTTTAAAATTATTCAGATTTTTTCCCAAATCCCACAATTAGAGGTTTTTAATCTTGCACCTTTACAGAACCATCTCAAATGGTGACTTTTTATCAAACAAAATTGCTCATTTGATCATGCCCCCATGACTCACATCCCTGTGTTTTATCTTCCTCTTCATTACTCATCAAGAAAATTGCTACTTACTTCACAGGAATGCTGACTGTCTCCAGTCTGGAAGTTCCTTGCCACATCTTATTAGGAAATGCCTCCAACCTCACAGATTTCCCTGCCAAGAGCATAAAGCTAGTGGAATGTTGCCACCGTCTCTTCACTAGGTATTAAGGAACTCTTTATCCTCTGTCAGCATAATTTAGTGAGCTCATATATTCTCTGAAAACCTTTTTTTTTTTATATTTTTGGTATTTCGCTTTTTTCCTTGGACACCTCTTTTCCATGAACTTGTATCTTTTAAACAAATGAGTATTTTAATGCTGCTGAATTGTTTTCCTTTTCTTGGGGAACTTTTCTGTTACAAGCACAGACAGAACCAATACACAACTGAAAATATCTTTGTTCAAACCTGAGCTATCCAAAAGACTAAAGATAGCTTATCATACAAAGATTCAGTGGCCTAGTTCCAGTTCATCTCAAATATTGACAAAAAGATAAATATTTGTACTAGCATAATGTTTTAGCTAGACACATCACCCTCACTGCCTGTTTGCCACAAGAGTTTTCTGTGGAAAGAGGTACCTTGTTTCATTTACTTGGCACCAAGACTAGTAGAAACTTGAAATTTCTTACACTGTTTAACTCCTTTTGTTAGGAATCAAAATTCCAATTCTAATTTCAGGGTTTTTTTCTCTATTATTCTTTTGACAGGTATATTTCTTCCTTCTGTGCCTTGTATCTTTGAGCATGGGCATATACAATGTGTAAAGTCTCATCTTTATGGTAAAATTTTTAGATTTCAACTATTCACAAAAATGTAGTTTAAAAAAATTACTCATGGTAGTATCAAGACCACCAGCTTCTGCCTGAACATCAGTGCTTGAATATCACTTCAAAGAATTTTTGTTCTTGCAACCTGATGTTCCAAAGGAGTTTATCATTACACTGAACCATTGTAAAAAATGATTACATAGTAAAAATCATCGGTAGGTACATTCCATCATTTTTATTTCTTCCAACTTTTGTGAATCACACTGATTTTAAATCTAACAGGTGGCTACAAAAACAGGAACCTGCTCTATTTTCAGCAGAATCAATACTGAGCAGATGCAAAAACATTTAATGGAGGAGTGACACCCTCAATCATTTCAGTTATCTAGGAAGATATAGCAGAGACATGAAGACTTTATACAGAAAACCATGCATTATCCTCATAAAAAGAGAGAATGGCTGGTGCTTGGAAAGTCTTCTCTATTTAATTTCTTATGAAAATTTTAACACATTTAAAGTGCTTTGGAGAAAGTATGTCTGCCTGTGTGTATGTGCATGTGTGTGTATGCATATACTGCAGAGAAAAAGAGACAAAAAATACCACTAGGATATTCTGTGATTCTGTGAAAAGGAGTTTATCTGATTTCTGCTTTTATCTCCTTCCCCAGTGCAGATCATTCGGAGAAGATCTTTCCTGAGGGAAACTACAGTTTGAGTTCCTGGAAAGTATGTTGCCAGATACTGGGTCAACCTGCTTCTAAATGTACTTAGATTAAGTTCCAATTTTTCGTGGGGGATAGATTACAAATAAGAGTTGTGTTCCTTAGAAGAAAGGAAATAAAAAATTTCCTTTGTAACAATAACTGTGAATTTCCCCCATGTGATCTTTATTTTCCATCTCTTACCAGCCCAGTTCCTCTGACTTGCTTGGTATTACTCATGAACTAAATTGGGATAAATGCAAGACATCTCTTGCTGCAGATCTCTTCTTCTTACAAATTAGAATAGAAGAACATTTCTAAGCCTGATTCTCCTGATTTCATTTCTATCCTGAAACTGATCAATCTATCAGGTTGAACTACTGTAGGCATGAAGAAAATCAGATTCAGAGGATTTGGTAGCCACTTACAGAAAGCTGTGAACTAGAAATAATATTCAGAACTGCCATCCATTCTAATAGTATTTCTGCTCTTTTTGATAGCATAGAAGTGTTTACTGTATGAAAATAAATAACTCCGTTTTCAAAAATCTCTGCACATTCTGCAAAGATAACTATGGTTACATATATATATATATATAACTGCCTGTTATGAGTAGGTAACTATGACTGCATGTGAATTGAGCTGCTAACATGTGGTATGCCTCACCAGCTTGGCTACTGAAGCACCGAACTGGGGAGTAGCCACTCTATACCCTAGTCTCCTTCTTTTGTCCACAAGAGAGTGCAGGAGGTTGGTCTATGTTTAGAGTCAACTACATGAACAAAATGTCCAAACTCCAAGTAAAGTTTCCTGTATTGATTCTTCTAAATCTTTGTTTTTAACCACTGTGAAAATTGATCCTGGAGTCACGAACCAGGAACTTTTACCCACATTTGAACATTATCAAATGTGAGTAAACTCGGGTCATAACATGACTATTCTCTGTGAAAACAACATTAAAGTAGAAGACTTCTAAAGAATCCTTTTGAGGAGGAAATTGTTATGATTTTAAGCTTCAGATTTTTCATAGACTCCAAAACTGAGAAGTTCTTTGCAGATTGAGATGGAGTGAGAAATATTCCTATCCTATGACATTGTAAATGCTAAATACTTGGGAAGAAAGCAAAGAACTAAAGTAAAGGAACATCAGAGAATCCTGACATACCCTCCTAATAAAAATTGTGCAGAAGGTCTATTCTGACAAAACAATTACTAACTTTTCAATCTTTCCTTAGTTACTGCAGAGTCTATTCCAAGAAATCCAGATTCATAACCTTAGACAGTTGCCAGAACAGCTATTTACAGAGGGGATTGATTTAAACTTACTTTAAAAGATGGTGGTTTCCTGTAAAACTCAGTTTATTAACCTTTTCTCTGAAGAAATTGTCAGTATTATTACTACTTTTAATTTTTATCACTGGTTTCATATTGTTAGGTGTTTTTCTTTGGCCTCATCCATCTAGGTATAGCAGACTGCATGTCAATCTCAGTTTTCAGGGCTTTTAAAGAGTGTTGACAATCCTGATTATGGCATATATATGCTCATATATACTTCATGCAAACCCATCCTAAAGAAACTGCATGGGTTTGATCCACAATTTTTCTCCAGCTTGCTGGTTATAGCAGGATTTATCTTTCAAATAAGCTTTGAGTCTGAAATAAAGAAATACATTATTTCAAGGAAAATTAATTGGAAACTTTAGCTCTCACTGTCAAGCAGAACAGTGTTCTGTTTCCAAACCATCCCTAGTACTCTCCCTTTTTGCTACTCCCTACTATGCTCTATTTAATATCAACCTTTTGAAATGACCACTCTTTCCATTCCCACTATTGTATACTGGTTAAAAGGACTACTCAGCCTAGTAGATACAACCATACATGAACTTCTAGAAAATCCTCTCACATAGCTTAAGGTAACAGTCTTCCTCCCACAGAAGAGATGTGGTATATTTCTTTTCCTTTTTAGGACTCCTCTAAAGAAGGATTAGATGGAAGGCAATTTTTGCAGAGTATACATGACATTTCCCTACCTATACCTGGTCAAAGAGATTGCCCACCTAGTTTGCTAATGGCTTAGTCAAAAGACAATATACATGGGACACTGCATCCTAAATGTAGCAAAAAAAGCCATGAAAGCAGGAGGGGATTGCTAAGAAGTACCATCATGCATTCAGGTAACTGTTTTCCCTCTGTCCTTGTGATGGTGGTAGGAGCTCAGTGTAGAGCTCTTTGTGTTTGTTTTGACACAAAAAGGGAACAGTACATTTCACCACCCTGGAGTTAACCTGGCATCCTGGACCCTGAATTTTCAGCACGCAGGAACACAATTCCGACAACACTGGAGACAATGAACCTGCATCACAGACCTGAAAAGAAACATATGATTTAATCAAATGCTCACTACACATATGGTGGGTAGACATGGGTGAACACCGGGTGCTCACCAAAGCTGTTCTATCCCTCTCCTCTGCTGAACAGGTGAGAGAAAACCCGGTAAAAGGTTTGTGGCCTGAGATAGGGACAGGGAGAGATCACTCACCAAGCACTGTCATAGGCAAAAAGTGACTCAACTTGGGGAAAATCAATTTAATTTGTTGCTGGTAAGTCAGAATAGGATAAGGAGAAACAAAACCAAATCTTATAAATACTTTCCCCATGTGCCTCCCTATACCTTGGGATCAGTTTTACTCCTGATTTTCTCTACCTCTACCCCCTCAACAATGCAAGATAATGGGGAACTGGAGCTGTGGTCAGTTCATCACACGTCCCTGCCGCTTCTTCCTCATCAGGGGGAGGACTCTTCACTCTCTTTCCCTGCTCCGCATGGGGCCTCTCCAACAACAGTCAGTCTTCCACAAACTTATGCAATATGAGTCCTTCCATGGGTTACATTCTTCATGAACTGCTCCAGCATGGGTCTCTTCCCAAGGGTGCAGTCTTTCAGGAACAGATTTTCCAGCATGGTTCACCCACAGGATCACAAGCTCTGCCAGCAGTACTTCAGTGCAGGCTTCCCATGGGGTCATAGCCTTCTTCAAGAAACCACCTACTCCAGTCTGGGTCCTCTAGGGGCTGCAGGTGGATCTCTGCTCCACCATGGCTCTCCATGGGCTACAGGGGAATAGCCTATTTCATCATGGTCTGCAGGGGAATCTTTGCTCTGGTGCCTGGAGCACCTCCTCTCCCTCTTTCTCCACTGACCTTGGTTCTTCAAGGCTATTTCTCTCACATATTCTCACTCTTTTGTCTCCTTCTTTTGCAGCAGGTTTTTCCCCTCTTCTTAAATAGTTATCACAGAGGCACTGCCACTGTCACTGACAGGCTCAGCCTTGGTCAGTAGTGACACTGTCTTAGACCCAGCTGGAACTGGCTCTGTTGGACATGTGGGAAGCTTCCAACAGCTTCTCAGAAAAGCCACATCTGTATCACTCCTCCTGCTACCAAATCCCATCCACGTAAACCAATACACTATACACATATAGATTCAAAGATGTAAATTAACACTTTGTAAATGATTCAAAAAGAGATGAAGACTGTGTGGAGGCATCCCTGGTTCAAAGGTCTTGTAAAAAAGAGAGAATTTAACCAGCTTTGTTGTTATTGGTATGGTAGTGCACAATAAGTTGTAACTAATGCAGATGAAAAGTGAATGAAGCATTGGTGGCACGACTCAATTTTTCACCCACTGGATGTCAGTACATATCTAATTTCTTTGTACTGTAGCTTTCACAGGATGTCAGTCATTAGAAGTCACTGGTAATAATTCCAGGAAAACTTTTACACAGTTCTGTGTTCAACAGTTCCAGGAAATATACTGTGCAGCCTTTATCTTGCTCAGAACATGTACCATCAATGAAAACTATCCTTAATTTAAGACGAAGTTCTCTCTGGCCCCAGTTTAGAAAAGTACTGAAATACGTAAATGAGGCAAACCTAGCAGATAACAGGAACATTTCTGTTTTAATTAGCTGAGAGGCAGATGGAAATAACAAGGACATTTTTGAAGGAAACTTCAAAATTCTACATCCCACAGCATCACTTCAAACCTGTATACCTTTGTGAACGTGGGAGTCATTGACTACGTGTTGCCATTTAACCTGGCATGTAGCTAAACACCATCTGGTTGCTTGCTCACTCCCTGCCGCCACTAATGGGATGGTGAAGAGAATTGGAAGAAAAAAAAAAGTAAAATTTGTGAGTTGAGGTAAAGGTAGTTTATTAGAACAGAAAGTGAGGGAATAATAATCATTAATAATAGAATATACAAAAGAAGTTATATAAAAGGCAATTGCTCACCATCCACTGACTGTTGCCCACCCAGTCCCCAAAACTGTGGCCCCCAGCCAACCTTTCCCCCAGTTCATATAGCAAGCATGGCACCATATGGTGTAGAATATCCTTTTAGACTGCTTGAGTCAGCTGTTCTGGTTGTGTTTTCTTCCAGCTTCTTGTGCTCTCCCTGTCCAGCCAATTCACTTGTGGGCTGGTATGAGAAGCTAAAACATCCTTGACTTAAGGTAAGCACTAAATAATGAAAAAACATTGTGTTATCAACATGGTTTTCATCCAAACCACAGCACTGTACCAGCTACTACGAAGACAAGTAACTCTATCCCAGCCAAAACAAGAACAGAGAGACAGGTCGTACACAGCAAGTTACAGAGCCAAGTCAGTGTTCTCCAAAGCAGGTATCAGCTTGTTCTCACAAAAGACATGAATAGAGAGGGGCAAGATATCAACGATACAGTATATGAATACCAATTCTTTTCTTCTGCAGACTGAAACTGTTTTTGCTTTGCAGTGGTCAGACTTCCAAATTGAACTAGATACAGGTAGCATTAAAACCTCTTAAGTAAGTTACTCAGCAGTAACAGGTAGGAAGGTGTCTCTGAACCTCAGACCTACCAGCAGTGGTAGAAGACTGTGTCAAGGGCATTGAGGAGTGCATGGGAAGCTCTTGGTCCTTGTGATGTACATGGCATTGGAAGCACAGCCCTGTTTGGCAGCCATCAGCACAGCTCGATATGCCCTGAGAGCAGCTGAAGTGAAACCTCAAGTTTGGAGTCTGTGGGCACAGTTCATCCATGTGGCACCATCCCAATTCTGTGAGCAGGCCTGCAGAATAAGTGGGCCTGCTGCAATCCTAAACTGTTATCTGATATCAAACATAAAAACAAGTGGCAGGTCACAAAACTTTGAGAGGCTGAATCAAAGTCTCTCATTTGCATCAGTCTAAACTTGATGGATCTCCACTGAAGCTGGAGTTATCATACACTTCTATCAGTGTAAATCACACATTAATTGTTTCCTTGGATTTTATTCTAATTTCAAGCTGGTTTTAAAGTCTTACAGGTGCACAGAAGCCAATGAAAGTACTTAATTTGTTCCACTGTTGTGTATTGGTCAGTACACATGCTTCTGTTTTGCCTTGTGGAGCTCTGAATCTGAAACATGAGAATATGAACCTAGAAAACAGACTGGGAAAACC